ATGAAAAATTCAACAATCCAAGTCCTTAAGCAGACATGAGCAGACACATATTCTGTGAGCCATGCCCTTCTCCCCTCTTTTTCCTTCCTTCCCTGCAGTTGAGCTTTTTGCTCCTATTTAAATGCTGTTGTCTTGCTACTTTTAAGGAAACTTTGTGTCAAAGTCTTTCATAAGGGGTAGAAAGGACCTGAAGGAACACACCTACCTCCAGGTTGTGTTCCTTCTTACAGATTAAAAGTCAAGGGAAAGGACCTAGTAATAATAAAACAAAGAACACTCAGGGGCTAAAAATCAGGCTAATATCACTAATAGATGTGTCCTTTGTGCAAGATGTAATGTATGTAAGCTTGACATCCACCTTTTAACTAATTCACCTGTTCAAGAATAAGAGTGTCCAGAGACAGACAAGTAAAACTAGAGACTGGTATTCCCCTTTCTCAGACCAACAGGTGAGCTGAACCTGTAGCTGGAGTCTAAGGAATCCAGCAGGCTCAGAAACATCAAGACTCTGAACTTGTAAATTCCAAGAGAAAGAAACTCTGCCAGATTTTAATTCTGCACATTTAAAAGTATTTTTACATTGCATTATTAAAATAGCTAAAAGAGAAGGTGAGACAGTTCATGGGTCAGGATTACTACAGAAGTCTCAAGAGACTGAATCTTCATCTCAACAGTCAAAGCTACCAGAACTTCATGAGCTGTCAAGTGTTCCTCTGTTCTGCTTTACTAACATAAACAAAAAATTCCACACATCATCCCCTGTGAACCTCATCCTCCCAAGCAAAGTATGAGACATTTTACCTTCCCTTGTTTTGATGTGTTAATCTTGATGGCTGATACTTTTCCCACATGATCTCCTACAAAAACACGAAGAGCAGCTGTATCCCAATGCAGAGCTGTGACTTTTCTGCCCTTGTGCTCAGAGGAAACATAAATCCGTTCTGGCTTCCCACGACGCTCCTGATTCAGCTCCCAGACTACTATAAGGCCTTGGCTACAACAATTAAAGAAGAAAATACAAACTGAGACTAAGTCTTCTTATGTTTTATCAGAAGTCTGGGTATTATGAAGACGCATTATTCCAAAGAAACAGAAAATCTAAGGAAAGTAGAACATCTAGGAGCTGGTTGTGTTTGAGGCTGCATGCTTACAAGAAGTGTCATATTCTTAATTCTCAGGAAGAGTAAGTGTCCTTCCTTACATCACAGTGCATCAGCAGCTTTCTTTGGAAGGCTACTTTAACATTCACTGGAATTGCCAGTGACAGTGCAGAAAAATAAGCATTCATATGGATTTTAAACAATGTAAGAGGTATTTACTACCTATCTCATTCTGCCAAGTTAATAAAGATACTTCTTTTGATGCTAAAACGTATAAAAGAGCAATCATAACTTCAAACGCATTAGCTCTCCCACCCATGTTCTGTTACAGAAAAAATACTCACTTTGGAACAATTATTCCACTATTCCAGAAAAAAAGTTAAACTGTCTGTGTGGAGAATTATTCTGTAGGGGCTTCTATCACCTCTGCCCACCTCCAAGTTCTCAGCAGATGTGCAACTTAGAAGCTACTTCAAAATATGTATCCAGCATTCAGGTTTGCGAGTACATCACTCACCTGGTAGCAACAGCAACATAGTCTTCATCATGCAAACAACAGGCAACCCGGGAAACAGCACCCTCCTGAAAGCAAGTGCGGGAGTAAGTGCAGGTGGATGTTTTTCTTACACCGCCTCTACCACTAGGCAACTTTCATCTTTAAGACATAAAACAGATTTCTGTCAACAGCTGCTACCACTTTGTTGTGATGCAGTTCAGGGTTTGTTTGCAAACACTGAGCTTGCTCTAGAAAGAGGGAGCCATCATCATCAAGAGAAATGACTGCAGTTCATGCTCCAATTTGGAAAACACAGAAATCGGTCTCTTGTCCTCACACCTATGGAAGTCGTTTTGCCAGAAGTAAAAGTGAAATGTTCCCAACCTTAAAAGACAGCCTATCCTTTCTTTGCTTACACAAGTAGCTCAGAGTTTGGACATCCAAACACTGGTCATTATCTACAGGCGACTTGCTCTGGTTTAAATATTTAGGCAACTTGGTTGCTGCTGTTAAAAGTAAGAATTTGAAAAACAAAGATCTGACCCTCTCAAGTAATTTCTTTCATACTCATGAAATCTATTACCCCACACACTCTCAGGATGTACTCCAATGTCACAAACTTTCTTAAATGGAGCAATCCAAAACATCACCTTATGTGGACAATTCAGCAAGCGGAAAACGCCTGCCGACTCTTAATGAAAATTAACTTGAAACAGTGTCTCTTTCCCAGTCCCATTTTCCCCAGAAATTTTTCTACAGAATTCTTTACCCTTACCTTATGAGCGAGAAAAAGTCTTTGCTTCCAGCCATCCTTCTGTATAAGGTTCAGTCCTCCTCCTGAACTGCCCAGAGCTAGCCATCTCTTTGACACATCTATACACGTGCACTGAAGGAATAAAAAACACAATGCATAACGTGTCTGCTTCTAAGTACTAATAACAGTATCTTTTGCTTGCATTTTTATGTTATTTTTAAAGGCTTCATTGTTTGCCAGTGGTGCACCACTCCTGAAACACTGGCAGCACAGTCAGATATTAAAACAACACACTCTACTATTAGAGCAAATGGTATAAGGCACTGACTGTGTAAAGCTGTTATTACCCACAGTTTCATTAAGAAAACACACACGCAGACCCTTTGCCCTCACTTCTTCCCAAAGTTTTCCCTCCATAAGCTAGCACACACACAAAAAGAACAAGATGATTCATAGAATTACAGAATAGTTTGGGTTGGAAGGCACCTTAAAGATTATATCATTCTGTAGGTTAATGAGATAATAAACCAAATAAGGTTATTATTTGAATTAAGGGGGGAAAAAAGCCCCAAAACAACAGGAACACACATCACCCAAAAAGCTCATCCACCACAAACTCACCTTCAGACGACCAGAATCCAGCCTGAGTGCAGAAAGCAATGGATCCAAACATTCAAGCTCTGCCAAAACATGGTTGTAAGAGTCTGGAATTACTGGCGCAGAGGCCATTGATGTACACAACTGGTGCTACTTGCTCATGGGCGTATTACAGCTTCGGCTTTCAGCTATACCTGCCACAAATAAAGTCAGTTCTTGATTAGTTCCATTTTTCAGCATTACATTTGTTACAAAAAAAAAAACCCAAACAAACCAAAAGCCACACTAAATGTCTTCCCTTTCACAGACCACCAGGTTTCAGTCTGCCAAGGGCTACAAATTAAGACTCCTGCTTCATCTGCAAGGAGTTTTTGCTGAACTTCATTTCAGAAAATTTAACCTATCAGACACCAACTTTGGAAGTACTTTAGATTGCAGCTATTAAGATATATTTATACCTACCTGTGAAACAAGTTCTGTCTACCTTGGCTTCCCCACCCCCCCCAACACACACACTTTATTTGAAACTCATTTTCTCAAGGAAAACACTGAGCATTAGCATTGGATATCCACATCATCTTCTCCCCCAAAACCAAATTTAAGGAGTATTATCCTCAGTTGATACCAAATTTAGGATTATCTGCATTTGTGCATCTTTAATACAACTACTCATAAACATGTATGAACTATCCTTTCCACAGCACCTCTTTTCCAGTATAGAAGACCAATAACTTTAATTCTTGGTTTTTAATCTGTTATCAAAGTTGCAACCTCATACACTTTTGCTAAAGAGCACATACCTTAAAATAATATCTTGTTGAGGAATTTTTAAAGTTTAGACCTGTTATGTTGCTTAAAAAAACCTCACCTTCATATACTTCATATCCAAGCCTTTGGATTTCTAAATAACGTTCAGTATGCAGCACTATAAATTAACTCCCTCCCAGAAATACTGCCATGTGAAACCTTACACTTCCTTACAAGAAAGGCGAACTTTGACTCTTACCAGGCACCAGGGAAGGCGAAGATACACATTCAATTACAGAGACTAAAACTATTCCTTCAAAATTCTCAAAACCGTCTTAAAATTTTAAATTATGGGATCTGAGAACGCCTTCGCCCCTGAGGCAAAGACCAGACCGCCTCTGATGACAAAAAAACCACCCCATCAAACAACAAATATTTTTCCGGATTATAGTACTTGGTCCAGAAAGTCACCCCTATGCCTGTTTTACACACTGGCGTAAGGACGGCGGCAGATAGCCTCGATCAAAGAAAGCCAGGCTGAGATGCTAAACCCTTCCTTGGGACTCCGCTCTCGGAGCCAGCAATCGCCCCGGTCTCGGACCCGCCCCTGAACACACGCTACCAGCCCGCCAGCCTCCAACCTGAAGAAGACCCACAAATCCACCTTGTTTTCCCTCAGACACGCGGAGTAAGAGCCCGAAAACACCCTCAGCCCTCAGACAGCTGCCCGCGGAAAGCCAGCCACACCGTGCGGCAGCCAGTGAAGTGCGGTAAAGCAGCACAGCCGCCAAGGGAACAAGCACTTCCCGGCTGCCACACCGCCGCGAAGCAACGCCCGCACCAGCGCTTCAGACGCCCCGACCGCGAGAGCCAAAGCTGCTGCCAGCCAGAAGCCAGAGCACAGGAAATCACGGGGTACGCAGCGGCAGCTCTCCGGGCCCGGGCAGGGCTCCCTCCCGCAGGCACACAGCTCCAATCAAAGGCACCTACGGCCGAGCAGCACGACTTCTCCTTCCCACCTCGTTGCGCGCGCTACCTCAGGACCGCCCCTGCCCCGTGGTCCCGCCCCCAAGCAGAGCTGCACGTGACGAGCGGGAGGGGCGGGGCCATGCCACAGCTCGGGACAGCGTCACGCAGAGTGCGCCGTGAAGGAGGAAGCTGCGTCACGCGTGCCCGCCTGCCCTGGCCACGTGACGCTGACGCGCGGCGCCCCCTCCCGCCGAGGGCCGTTGCCGAGGGGAGGCCCCTCCCCCGCAGCGCTGTGGCGGCGGCACCGGCGACCTGGGAGCGGAGCACCGGGCCGATGGCGGGGGACGAACGGGGCCCGCGTACCGCTGGGTCGGGTGACGGCGGGGGACGGGGAGGGCCGGGAGCAGCGGGGAGAATGGGGGGGGGGGGCGGCGCTGTTTACTGCACCGTCACTCCCCCCTCCGGCCTCTACTGTCATGGCGACGGGGGAGGGGCCGTCACGTGAGAGCGGAGGAGGCGGGAGGGGAGCGGGCCCATACCACGTGACCACAGGAGACGCGCCGCGACGGCCGCTCCAGGGTCACGTGAGGCAGGCTCCATTCCCCTCCTAGCGCCCCACGGCTTATTCCGGTCACGTGGCCTCCCCCTGCCCGCCCCATGGCCCCGGCAGCAGCCCGACCCCCGTAGCGCCCGCTCCCGCCCCGGGCCCCTCCCGCCGGCAGCAGCCGGCACCCAGCACCGCCCTCACGGTAAGGAGCGCGCTGGCGCGGGGCTGGGGAGGTGGCGGTGCCGGGCATTGTCTCTGTGGGGGGGCAGTGGGGCCCGATCCTTCTCACGGCCGCGTTGCCCAGCGGTTCTTTCCGTCTCTCCTGCCTGCCGAGGCGCGCGGCGGTCCTTAGCAGCCCGCTGTTCCTCCGTACCCGACCCAGGTGTGGCTGTTTAACGGTGGCGGCCTCGCCGGCCGCGGGTGCCGTAGAGACGGGACCGGGAGACGCGGCTGCAGCCACCGGTATCTGCCCCATAGGGAGGGGAGCGGCGGGGAGGAGGCAACCCTCCGCCGGCGGGATCGCGGCGGTGGCAGTGGGTTTCACCCGAGCTTTGGGCGTCGGGTGCGGGCGGTAGACAAAGAGGTGCCCTCGCAGCGCCTTCCTAGGCAGCGGCCACCGTCTGCCAGGGCCGCCAGGAGCCGGACGGAGCCGCGGCAGTGCCCGTGCAGGATATCCTCGGGCACGTTTCGCTGCAGGCAGAAACACTGTATGAAGGTGATGCGGTCGCGGAGGAAAGCCGAATCGACCCTTCAGAATGGGCTCAGGGGCATAAACCTCATGTGGATTCCATCAGTTTATCGCGATGCTTGCCGGTATCCAAGACCAGTGGCACTTAGCAGCTCCCAGCGTTACCGTGGGCTGTATTTCATTGGCAGGCCTGGTGCTGCCCCTCCGGGTGCTGCTCTGCTGGCTCCCGGCCCCACCCAAACCGTCAAGAGTCCTGCTGCCTACCTGTGCCACTGCAGCTCAGTCTGGACCATTAGCGTGGATATTCTGCTGTTCCCTGTAGGGAGTGGAAACCTAGCAGCAGGGACTGCATCAGTTGTCAGAGCTTGCCTGCCTGCCTGTATCTACCCTGACCGGATCAGGATTATTACAATGTGTAAATGTTTCCTTTATTTATGATTAGAGCTCCATATGGGAGGAGACTGGAGTGAAATGCTGGTAATGGAGAGCATTCAGAACAGGTTATAAGGAACAGACAAGAGAGATATTCAATTTTAAAAGTGGTTAGAAAGAGTTGCTGCATTAAGAGGAAAGGCAGCTGTTGGAATTGGACAGTATTTCCAGAAGTTCTGTCCACTCTCATAGATCTGGGAGGTTGTAGGTGGATGAGCAAACAGGAGGACCTTGTGTTGACTTTTTATGCCAATACTGAGACTTCCTGATAGACCCTGCCAGTTGTAAACTGCACCTGAGATTAATACCCTCAAGGCATGGTTGATGACAGGTCATACCCCATGGGTTAGGGCTATGGATTGATCTAAGTGCTTTCTAGAACTCCTAATCGTAATTTCAAAAGCTCTGCTGCTGGAGAATTCCGAATCAAGCATTTCTGACCTTCCTATTCTGGAAGATACTGAAACCAGAGAAATATCTGTCTTTTAAAGTCTGCAGCTAAAGAACTCTAATGCTTCTGGTTTTTGTAGCAGGTTAACATTATAGTTAATGCTGTAAAATAACAGAATTTCTCTTGTGTGCACATTTCAGTTCTTGCCCCTTTGAGCAGCAGTGTCATCATCCACAGTACTGATTCTTGGAAACTCGAGTTGTTAAATATAGAGATTAGGAGATTTGGGCAGGCACAAATAAACCATTGATGGCTCTCAACCGACTGTGTAGTAAGCCTTAACCATCCAAAAAGAAAAAAGTTATGTGCTGTGTGTCCTTAGTGAGGACGCGGCCTTACCCTGTGCAGTTTATAGGGGACCATCCTCATACTTTTTTAGCAGCTGGGTGAGATTTCTATTTTAGAAGTTTCCCCTGTACTAGTTGTAACAAGAAGCCATTTTGTTTTCATTAGTGAGAGATGGTAACTTTCCTCAATTTTTTATTCATTCTGATGTACTCTTCAAAAGACAGCTGGGGTTTTCTCCATTTTGGGTAATGCTTACTGAGCTTGTGAGTTGTATCATCCTACTGCCACTGTAAATTACTGCACGAAAAAGGATGCAGAGCAATGACACAAATAAGAACAGCTGCGAGCTAGTGTGTTCACCCTCCCAGAAGGTAGAATGATCTTCTCCTGGGATAATTGTGAGTTCACAGACTGCACACTGCAGGGTACTGTTCTAGAAGGTTGTGCTTGTAAAGGAGAAGTTGCTAGGTGCCGATCGTTGTCTTCTGTAGTAGAAAGACTGGTTGTAGGTGGGTGAAATAGCATGGTAGAAAAGCAAAGCAACTTGCATCAGAATGAGGCTATGGAAACACTTTCCCTTTTCTTTCTGTTCAGTACAGGTTTAATTTGTTTGCATTCTGTGGCTTTGTCTCTACTGCATTGGGTAATAATGACCTTAAAGGACTGTAAAGTAATAAAGGGAGAAAAAAGTCAAAAATCCTTACTCTTGCATATATTGAGCTGTGTGTGTATGCATATACATACATATATATAGATTACATGTATATTACATGTATACATATGTATATATAAAATACATATATTGATTATATTACATATGTATATAATCTTTCATCTTGCATATATTGTTTGTTAGTCTGTGGCCAGCTGCCTTTTTCCCAGTAAGGATAAGGACCTGATGAGAGGCTACAGACATGGAACTGGAAACTATAAAATGGTAGAGTGAGTAGCACTGGAAGAGAATAACGATGCTGGGGAGACTGTAAAGCATTATGCTAGGAAACGGTCCTGAAATCATGCCATACAGTTTTCTTTGAGAGAGAAGTATTATCAGGGCTGCTCTGAATGTGGCCCAACTTGTTCCAGTGACTGCTGCAGTGGTGCTGATGTGCAACCCCACATTCAGCTCAGCATCACTGAAGTCTCTGGCAAAGCTTTGGAGGACTGAAATGATGGAGTGAAGCCTAAGTGCAGAGCCCTTTTGCCATTAAGTCTTTCAATTTAGTATTTTACTTAACTAATTTCAGAGATGGGTATGTAAAACTTGCTGAAGAGAATGCTCTGCTGCTGTCCGGGCTGTCACAGTAAATGTCCTGTCTTGCTTCTGTTGTCTTTGTTTTTTTTAAGATACCTACTAGTAGTGCAATAGCTGATGCAGATTGTTGATGGAAGTTTGATGTGGACCTCAGCAAATATTACAGGTATTCTAAAGCATATGAAACCTAGAATGATAGAATGGTTTGGGTTGGAAAGAGCCTTATGATCATCTAAGTTCCAGTCCCCCTGCCATGGGCAGGGACACGCCACACTAGACCATGCTGCCGAAGAACATGCATATCAGCATTTGAACAGTGTTTCACGTATTGATAGTAAAGTTTATGATGTACAAAATACAGTAGTTGAACAGACTAAACATTTACAGTGAACGTACCAAAGATGGAATCTTTTGATAGGTGTATGACAGTATGTTCATAGAATGTGGTGATACTTGTGGTATCCTTTATCTCTTGAGAAATTTAAGGCTGTAGACTCAACCTGCAGAGAGGAATGATAGTGACTGCTGGGGGGAGAAGAATGCAAAAGGCTTGTTGATGTGAGACTGGCGACAAAATTACCACTGTGATGAAATAGGTGTAACATTAGTCCCTCGGACTTCGGAGGAGAGGGACGAGGGACGGGAAACTGCCCAGCTGGAATAAAGCATGCAAAACATTGTTCTAGCCCACCACAGTAAGAATAGGAGTGTAGCTGGGCTACTTTATCCTTAGCACAGAGAACTGCTATTTTTCACATACCTTGTATCCTTCCCTTTTCCGAAATGACTTAACATCTGCCATTCACACTGAAGAAGAGAACTGCTGCCAAATGCCAGAGGAGATTTAGAATTTGTGCCATTTCTGAGCTTGTGTCTCCTTCTGAACTTGAAAAAACAGTAAAGGAACATTAAAACAGGAAAATTTTGTTATTGGTTTAAGGTTTGCAGGTCTTTTACTGAAGCAAAAGCAGTATCAGTAGCAAGGTGAATTATTTAGGTAGCTGGCAGTATTTTATTTAAATAAATATCTTGATTGCACTTACAGAGGGAAGCATGTTTATCTGGAATATTTAAAAAATGGTGTAGGCATTAACAAGTAAATGTGGGTGTAATACTTTGATACAGATAGGAGTATTGAAAGATTTGCAGCAAGTATAATTATACTAACCAGCTCAACTGTATGTTTTTAATAGCTCCTTACAGCCACAATGGCAACATCATCTGAAGAAGTGTTACTGATTGTAAAGAAGGTACGTCAGAAGAAGCAGGATGGAGCTCTCTACCTTATGGCTGAAAGGATAGCATGGGCACCTGAAGGCAAAGACCGATTCACAGTCAGCCATATGTATGCAGACATAAAATGTAAGTGAGCACTTTCCCTTTTCCAGCTTCAGTAAGCAGTATTCTGATAAACATTTAAATACAACCCAAAGCATATTTGCCATAAAACACTGGTGAATAAGTTGGGAAGGTTAAAAGGGTCTGAAGCTTTGACTAGGTTATTCTGTGTAGCAGCAGAGGTCAGGACCATGCTGAAGTATCACTCAGTTTATTAAGGATGCTACTACAGGACTTCTGTAGTCTCCAGCTGTTTAAGTTATACTGCATTTACTATTAAATTTTGATAAACTTCTGCAATAAATTAGAGAAATAAGCCATGCCATCTACTTGTGGACGGAAGGGTGGGAGGAGGGTTGAGGAAGAGTACAGGATTTTCAAGGTCTAACACAGAAACTGACATGTCATCTGTTAAACTATGCATCTAAAGCTGTTCCAATTTTCATATAAAGTGACCCTCAGTGTTTTACTTTCATCCAGTAGACCATAGCTTCAGAAGCACTAGCTTCTGTAGCTTGGCCTAACTGGTAACATTCTGATGAAGCGTTTACTGTTGCAGTAGCAGAGTACTTGTGAGTCAAAACTGAACAGTAAATGTCTATAGCATGCTGCCTTTCTGTTTCCAATTAGTGCTCATATTCCATGTGCTGTAATGCCAAAGAAGGAATAAAGTTGTATGTGTCACTTGGTAAAGGTTTAATGATTATTGCTGTTTAAAGTTACATACAAGTACTGCAGCATGATCAAAAATGTGTGTGAAGAATCAGAACTAATATGCTGTTTTCTTAAATACAGATGTAGTAAGGGGTTTAAAAGCTCTGTTCACCTCAGGTAATCAACTTTGTGAAGGTTCTATTTAGCTATTTACTTAGACTTCAGCAGCTTATATTTTAAAAATGTACATGTATAGGCATTGAAGTCAACTTAGATGAAAGATGCTCTTTTTTGTCATCCAAAATTAAAAAATGGGGGGAGATATTTGTAAATTTGTGATAGCAGTGATGATTCAGTGGTGACATCTGGTTCCTGTCTCCCAGTTGCACTGGAGAAAGGGGTAAGATTCAAAGTTAAGTTAGTGCCATTTGCAGTGCTACACTGAAGTCAGTATAGCACAGCAATACGTAAAAGCAGTTGTTCTAGTCTCTGCTCCTTCTGGTTATGAGAAAGGAAGCAGGAGTTAGGGTTCTTTTCATGAGTCATGAGGGTGTAATAGTACCTTGGAGGCATTGGCGATCGACTCTGGGAGTACTAGTAGCTAAATGTGCTTACCACACCACTTCAGACCAGCGTAGCTTTACTGTCAATAGACATGCTGTTACCCCACCCTGCATCTTCTTTCTTACTACTTTTCTTCTGTTGGAATTGATCCAGCTGGAAAAACAAAAAGGGGTCACTTTTCAGTTGATTGGTTCCTTGGTTCAGCTTGGTGCACAAATACTAAAACTCATACAAAAAAGAGAGCAGGAAGAAGTGGAAAGGAGGTTGTAGCCTTTCAGCAGCAGCCTAGTCTGGTACCAGGCTAGAGTGTCCATGTGATGACAATATAATTTGCAGCAGTTTTCTAATGGAAGATGTGGGGAATGCAAAGATAAATGAGGTCTCCTGAGCAGTAGCTGAAGGATACTGAACAGTAGACTGCTGGTGTCTGTGTCTTGTGTTTTAGACTGAACAAGGTGCTGGGTTCAAACTAATTTAAGGGGAAGACTATGTTCCACTTTTATGGCTGGAATTCACACACAGGATAATGGTATTTAATTGGATGATGAGGATAACTGCTTATAAGCAAATACTCTAGGGAAGAGTGTTCCTTGTATAAGCTTACTGTCTTTGGCTAATTAATACTCTCTGTGTAATCTAGGCCAGAAAATCAGTCCAGAAGGTAAAGCTAAAATTCAGCTTCAGCTAGTGCTGCATGCAGGGGACACAACCAACTTTCACTTCTCCAATGAAAGCACAGCAGTGAAGGAGCGAGATGCGGTAAAGGATCTTCTTCAACAACTGTTGCCCAAGTTCAAAAGGAAAGCTAATAAAGAACTTGAGGAGAAGAACAGGTAAAGGGAAAGGAACCTTAATGTTGGTTTTGCTTGGACTTTTTTTGGTGTTTGTTTGGCTTCTGCTTTAGTTGTTACCTAACTGCAGTGTGGTTTTGCTAACAGTTGTTATTGCAACATCGTTAGTGATACAGCATTCGTTTTCCTAGTATAAATCTCTCCGCTTCCAATTTAGAGGCTGTTCACTGAGAATTATATAACTGTGACATGTTGAGACTGTACCTGTGTTCTCAGTGACATGTTCTTGAGGTGTAAAGGCAGCCAACCTGGCTGCCACCCAGTCTGTTAACCACGGCTGTGAGACAAATGCACCCAACTGGCAGTCTGTCTCTTTAGTCTCTTAATAAGTATATATGTATTAGCTAGAAAGTCTACTTTAAAGATTTTTTTCCTTCTTTTCCAGAAGTTCTCACCTTTGATTTGTGATTTCTTCCCCTTCCTCCCTCCTCCCTGTATGACCTCTTTCCCCTCAATTTTTTCCTGGTGTTTTATATGCTTTACTGAATTGCAGTATTTTCATGCTGCATCACTTGAGATGCAGTAGTGTGTGACTTGGGATACAGGATGTTTATTCTAAAAATGTTTTGAGAAGACATTTGGGGCCAAAGTCCTTTTCCCAAAAGGGCTTTTAAGCTATGCTTCCGTTCCTCTAAAATACTTGTCTTAAACCGGTCCTTGTGGCCATAGAGCATGCTTACACTTCTCTGCATCTCCCCAGATGAGTTTCACTTTATTCTAGCATCTGCTATGAATCCTCTATCTATTCCCTTCCATTTCCAGAGACTGTTCTAGCTTTGAACTCAGCTGAGTTAAAGCTAGATTTTTTAAAAACCTAGGAACATTGCCTCATTGGGCAGGTAGCTCTTTACAAGTAGATTTCCCAGGTAAGAGCCTTGTGCAGGAGCTCTGACACATGCAGGATTAACTGTTTCTAGTACTGCAGGGACCACAAGGGTCTACGGCAGTGCAGACTGCTTTGGCACTATCACCATCCTAGTTTCTTTATATTACGTGCCTTATTTCTAAGACTTTTAATGCTGATTGTTTGGGCAGTCTTAGCTCTGGATCTTTGTATCCTTAAATGAGATTTTACAGTATTACGCCATGTGGCAATAAGAGCTTTCCTAGTTACAGGGAAGGCAGAATCTTTGCACGTACTCGGTCACAGTCTGTTACTTTGATTAGAAGTCCAAGTCTCGTGGCAGGGCTTCACTAGCTTAATTTTCAACTGAAAGGCAAAAAAGTTTCAGTCTGTTCTAGAAGGCATACTACATCCAGAGTCCCTGTGGCTCTTCCTTCATTTATTCATACGTAGGGGTCAGGTACATACCAATACTCCAAGTTTTAATGGAACAATTAAAATAAGACTGGTTCCTGCTGCACTAATTTATAGAAATGGCCACTAATCCATATTTGTACCAACAAGAAAAACTGTGGTGGTTAAAATACAATAGGGATGTCCTGCACCAAGTCTTCTTTTCCACCTCATCCTACTTCATCCTTAGAGCAGCTACAGACTTTCATTCAATCCGGATTGCAGTTTATCCGTGTTCTGCCCTGGATCATTTATTAGGTATTCATAAGATCCCTATTTTTGTTTGTTTGCAAATGATCAAGACCTTTAGGTACAGGTCAGAGATCATTGAGGTTATTGGCTGATTATGAACACACATGCATGTTTCCCTGACAATAGCCTGGTTGGTCTCAAGTCAAGCGTGCAGCTGTCTGAAAAGCTGCTTAAACATGAATTAAGTTTCAGGTACATGCATTCTTTGCATTTTGGATAGTAAGGGTGATACTTTATATTTGGATGATAACTTCTGCAAATGTTATTCTGTGGTGGAAGTAGTGACACTGAATGTTTCTGTAGCAATTGTGCTGTATGTCATAGTTAAGTGATGGAGATCCTACTGTCACCAACAGAAACACAAATGAACAAACAACTCAGGATAATACATGTTTTAAGGTACCTCATCCCCCACATTTTGCTATGTGTGCTCTTGCAATAGAAGAGAAACATGTAAGTACTGAATTTTAAGATATTAAATGGGAATTGGACAGTGCTGAAATCTCTTCCTGCCCCATGAGAGCATTGTTACAGAAGTTCAGGAAGTTTTGTTGTGCTTTTACACTTCAGGAGACTCCAGTCCTGGATGTGCAAAGACACAAGAGCACCACAGAATATTAGGATAAGATGTTAATCCCATAGTAACTTTTTCTAGGCATTATTGTTCTCTAGGATTTAATACTATTCCTTAAACATTTCTTTTTAGCCCTGAAGTCTTTTAGGGCAAATACAGCTATGGAGGTTGTTTGCTTACACAGTCTTGTTAAGAAATGCACAGCATTTTGAAAGTAGTTGGTTTCTGTTCCTTTTGTGAACTCATGCTAGTTATGGAAATCCTAGTGACTTATTCTGCAGTATTTCAATTCTGTTCAATACATTCTTTTACCAGAATGCTGCAAGAAGATCCTGTTTTGTTTCAGCTCTATAAAGACCTTGTTGTGAGCCAAGTAATCAGTGCTGAGGAATTCTGGGCCAACCGTTTAAGCCTGAATGCAGGGGATAATTCTGCAGGACCTAGTAAGCAGGATGTGGGCATCTCTGCAGCATTTCTGGTATGTTGAACCTCTCTAGCTTAAACGATTTTAGAGCAAACCAACTGGGGAAAGTGTTCCGAGTTCTGTTCACATACTTTATTCCCATATACTTTAATAGTGTTCTTTCCTGGTTCCTTCACATATTTCCACACATTGGTGAGACTATTGCAATCATAAAGGAGAAAAAAGAACAAAAGTAAAGGTTTCGGTTTCAAATCTGCAACCTCAACATTCTGACAATTTAATCTGCTCAATTTGCACTTTAAATTGACAATAGGCCGTTGTTCTTTATACGTCTGCCTCCTGTTAAACAGGAATAACGGTAAACTTACAGTCACTAAGTTACATTGTATTAATGCCATAAGTTCAAGAGTATCTCTGCTGCACCATTGACATACATAAATGAAGCTGCAGAGATTTTCCAGTTTTATTCTCTCCCCAGTTTTTTCTTAAACATGCTTTCAGCTACTTGAAGAGCAACTTGTATGTATGAAAACTTGTTTTCTCTCTCTTTTTCCATCTTTGTTATGTTACCCATTTGTAGAAACCATGCCTCAGTAATCTCAATGCAGTCTAAAAGTAACCTAGGTACAATCTTTAGATTCCTTCCACAGATGTATTTCTACTTTTGCAACAGAATTAATACATGCTGTGACTCTCTAGTGGGAATCCCATTTCCACCTTTGTACTGACTGCACACACATCAAGTGTTTGGGAGGGAAACAGGAGGTGGGAGCAGCTTTATGACTTAGCTGCTATACTTGTTTTTTCCCACCTAGAAGTACCTGAATCATTTACCAAATGAACTTGATGCCTCCGATTTCCTCTCTCTCATTATTCTTACATCTTGACAATAAAAAAGCAAAGCACCACACCCACTGAGACTTTCTAAACCAAATCCTTCATAAATAACTTGTTGTGTTTGTATACTCTGCATTTGTGAAAACGAATTTCATATATTTGTGTGTTCTAGTTCAAGTTAAATAACTATTGGCTCTGCTCAGAATGAGTGTTTCTCTAGGAAGAAGGTGGGACAAAACTTAGAATTTAGATGTACAGGAAGAGGAAGAAAAGAAGGCAGCTTATGCAATCATGTACTTTTTCCTGTTACTGAAAATTGGTCTGAGAACTTGCTTGCTCCAGAGCTTCCTAAAGAGATCACTGAGATCTAACTTGCAAGTTCTGACTGAGGCTCACCCTCAATTTCTAAATTCATTGCTATTTGCCAGTTATATGGAGATGCTTTCAGTGTGTAAGCAAATAAGGTATGAGAACCATAAATCCTTTTTTGTCACTTCATTATCATCCCTGATTATTCACTAGCTGAATTGTTGCACACACATTAATGGATTAAGCATATGCAGTAAACATGCCTATTTTTACTGTGAAACAAGAATATATTAAACTAAGCACACATTCTTTTGACTGATAGAATGGTCTTTGCTTTTCATCTTCTAAAATTTACAATCTACTTGTAGAATTTTGCCTTTAAGTGGAAATGTAGTCATTCTAAAAATACCTATTTATAATCAAATATGTTATGGATTATTGGAGGAAGAAGATTATTTTATCTGCAGCAGAATTTGACTGCAAGATGCTAGTTTTTTTCCTTCTCCAGTTACAGAGGCATTCAGACGTGACTGGTTTTCTTCCTTGTATGCTCTTTCTTAGGCTGATGTACGGCCTCAAACAGATGGCTGCAATGGTCTGCGGTATAATTTGACTTCAGATATCATTGAATCCATATTTCGAACATATCCTGCAGGTAAAAACAGTGCTTTATGAAACAAATACATACATTTAAGATTTGGTTGGTTTGGGGTTTTTTACCATCTTGCTGTGGGAAGACTGAAATGTTAGTCTGAGCCTGGAAATACAAAGCACCATATATTCAGTCTTCTGGATGATTTTCCCTGACTTGATTGAGGGGTGGGAAGAAGCATGTGTTAAAACATGCATTTGAAATGAGGATTTGATTTTGTTAAATGAAAACATTTTAACTTGTGCATAGAACTTTTGGTTGTTCGGAATTTTGGTTGGTTGGTTTGTTTGGGGGGGTTGGTGGTTTTGGGGTGTTTTTTTTCCTTAGATTGTGAGTATGTGTTTGGTTCCCATGTACTCTCCTAGTCAGAATTTCAGTTAATTGTTATTTTTCATTAAACCACCTTTGGGAAGAAAATAATCTGATTTCCATCATCCCCCTGCACTATACTGAATTACTAGAATTCTGGCTAATCAAACTTCTTGTGTGTCTGCAGTTCAAGTTAGAGTATTCAGACCACTGTTACATGCATTTATTTCAAAGTATTAGCTAGCATTGCGGGGCATAAAAAGAAGTACCTGTTTGCTTATGCTTAACTACTGTGTTCCCTTAGTTTAGTTGGAATGAATGAAAGCAGCATTAGACAAAAAACAAGGAAGGAAGAAAGCAAGGAAATTTTAGCGTAAAGTACCATACTGGGATTTGCAGAACAGTTTGCAATCACTGCTGGTCTTGTTCACAGTAAAAATGAAATATGCAGAAAATGTTCCACATAACATGACGGAGAAGGAATTCTGGACACGATTTTTTCAGTCTCATTATTTCCATCGGGACAGGCTCAATACAGGCTCCAAAGACCTCTTTACGGAGTGTGCCAAACTGGATGAAAAAGGTAAGGTTTTTGACTTTGTGCTATAGGCTGCAACAGTCCTAGCTGTCTCATAGACCCCAACACTCAAGCGGTCTGTCTAGTAAATCTAGGAAAGCTGAAGTTTTCTTACATTTGTTCACTAGGCATGTTGTTTGTCAAACTGTGAAGTGAAAGGTACAGATGGCCACTGGAAGTTAGCTATAGCTTTGGATTCTCAACATGTTTCATGGAGAGTGCCCTTCTTGAAACAAAGTAGCCTTTGGAGAGTGGTAGCAGTAGAAACCAGCTTTATTACAACTCATGCAACAGAAAATCTGCGATAAATTCTATTACGTGCTGTCATGCTAGACTGATTATTCTGTGCCATCAGTTGCTGTGGAATAATTTTGTTTATATAAGGCTTCATTCTGTGGTATGTGCACAACTTAGAGCACGTATAGCTTTTGTTATAGATCAGTTTTTAGTAATAGACAAATATGGATCTTGTTTAAAATTTTCCAGAGGAGTTGCCATCCCTGTTCTCTGTCAGCCTTTTTAATGTGAAATGTTGAAATACCATCTGATATAAGTTTTTATTGAATTTTTGAGGTAGGTTTGTAATGATACAGAGATGTGCAGAGTTGAGATCACTTAACACCATTCCTTAATATGTATTCTGACTAATGAAATCCATAACCCTACACAAGTAAAACTATCACCAGATGTAAATTGCCATTCTGCCCAAGACAAGACAGCAAAATAGTGCCAAAATTAGAAGAAACACACAACTAAGGCTTCCCAGTTCCCACATTAATACAACTAACATAACTACTAACTAATACAATGTTCAATTTTATTTGTTTGGGTTTTTTTAACCAAACAGTGATGTGTAGAAGTTGATGAAAGCCGTGCTAATTAGTAGGATGATCTTTAACAATGCCTTTCCAATTTATTGATAATTTTAAATGGAACTCTGAAAAGGGTTGAAAGCTTTAGTCATGCTGATACTTGGATATCTGCAGAACCTTTGTCTTTTCATTTAAAGGTTAAATATAATCTAATAATCCCTATGTTAGATACAGTTTTTAATGATTTTTTTTCTTTGTTTTATACAGGGTTAAAAGCAATGGTGTCTCAAGGAGTAAAAAACCCCCTGATAGATTTAACAGCTTTGGATGATTACACATTAGATGAAGTAAGTAGTTGCCAACCCCCCCCCCCCCCAAAAAAAAAGAAACCCCAGCCAACCCCCACCTTAGCTTCATTTAAGGAAAAAGAGGGTCCCTCTCCTCTTAAAATAGCTACAAATGCTAATTCTAAACCACATCACTTACTAGGCTTCTGCAATGGTTGGGTAGTCGACATTGACACAGTTGCACATGTGTGTGTAAAGAAATGGAGACTCTGCCCATAGTCCTGTATGTCTCCTGTCTGCCTTAGTTTGCTGGCTATAAAAGTAGGAATTCCTTTTTAAAGAATTATTATTTCACTTGGATGGTTTGGTTTTGTTTTTTTCTTGTCTGAAGTGGACATTCTGTTTTCTTCCTGCCTTTTAGAAGCTGTGACAACATACAAAAAGTAGCATGAAATGAAGAAGTCTTTGCATTTGTTCTCATTTTAAACATGGCTATTTGCTTGATTCAGCTTAATTTTAAGGACACTTTATACAGTTTTCTTTGTTTAGCTTTAAATACCATCTTTTGCTAAATGTATGACTAACTTGATCTGTTTTGTTACCTGCCTCCAAGTACAAATTAAAACAATTTTTATAAATGGTGTACCATAATGTGAAATTACCTAAAAATGTGCTTTTCTGCAGTTGACCTAAGTTAAACTTTGGAGTTTTAACTAATGATGCAGCATATCTAAGTTGGTTTTGTTTTCTGTAAGAGTTGTACAAAGCCAACAGTCTGGAACTGGACTAGGAGTTTAGGCTAGGTATGTTTGAATTGCTATGCAAACTGCCCTACTTTCATTTTGAGGCTGGTTAACTGCAGGCATGAAACTGTGCATAGGGCAAAGCAAGCTGCCTTTAGCCACCTGGCAACCAAGGAACACTGCCAGGATTAAGGCCTGAAGTTTTTTGAATTCCCAGTGATACCGCATCCTCCTGACAGGTGTCATTTAGCCTGTGCGCTGCTGTTGTCCCACAGGCTGGTAAAAAGAGGTCAATAAAACAATTGCTAGCTCTTAATTGCCGTCAATGCCTGTCTGTTTCATGCAGGTGATCCTCACATTTTTAAGCTAGTTCTAGTTTTACTTATAACTAGACCACAGTTTTACAAAACATTTTTTTTCTTCTCTCAGACACTTAAACTACCCAGTGTTAGCAGAATAAAATAGTCTATGGAGATTTTTCAAAGTACATAATGTGATGGTGGAGCTAGGGAGGAAAATACTGCTTCCCATGATGAGGCAGTATCACTCAGTAGAGCTCAGAGGAGGTAACGTGCAAGATTCCTGATTCAGTCTTTCTGGTTTTGGGGCAGGAGGTAGCTAATGTTGTTTTCTTTGTAGGAATATGTTGCTTCTATGGCCTCTACATCAAATGCCTCAAAATCTGCTAGAGAAAGTAGCACCACTGCCATTATAAAACGCTTTAATCATCATAGTGCCATGGTCCTTGCAGCTGGCCTCAGGAAACAGTAAGTTTCACTCTTGTGTAAAAGCTGGTTTGTAACAAATTTTAAAGAATTTCCAAAATGAAAGTAAGTCTTCAATTGCACATCCAACATTTTTGTGTAATTTTTATGATTTATAATTTTCACTTTAGAAACAAAAATACCTTTACATTCCATTTTACTTTAACAGTTTTTCTGAGATGAAAAATGCTAAGTTTTAGCTGAGTTACCATACAAAGCAGATGAAAAAAGGAAAGGATGTTTCTGCCTTAGTTCTCCACCCCTGGTGAAGGCTGCAGAAGTAGTATTCCATTTGCTGTGTGGAGGGGAGGTCTGGCATAGGGGGTCCCTACTACCTGCCTTCCAGGAGCAGGTCTGCTGAGGCTTCCTGTAGTGGGGTGCATGGACATAAGCAAAGGAGCAAGCAAGAAGTGTGGCATAGGTAGATCAGATTAAAGATTCCTCTAGTGCAGTACCTTGCCCCAGACTAAAAAGAAAAGAATAACCAGGTGGTTTAGTATATTTGCAGTGAACTTCATGAATGAAACTTCTTCAAAGAATAATGAAATGGGCCTGATGTGAAGTCTGCTTTATGAGTGGTTTATAAACAAACATCAGAGGATTCCTACTCTTCCCAAATCCTGCAGACCTCATCTGTGATAAATCCTAGTACCTTCTGTCTAGCTGTGCTCCATCATGTTGTTGTTCTGTCTAACTGAACACTGGACCTTAATGATCTCTTCCATGTAATGTGTGTTCCAGTTCAGAAAGACAAAACAATAGCTCTCATTCTGCAACAGTAGTATCTCGGGGCTTCATATCTCTGCTAACATCTGGTTGGCATAAGCGTGTATGCAAAGCGTTTCTAATTTAGTCATGATTTTGCTGTGTCCCACTTGTGTTGCTGGCATGCTACTATTTTCTGAGGAGAGGGAGAATCACCCTCCCTTGCTGTTGTATTTCTCTCTTGACAAACAGGATTATTTGAGGAGTTGGTTCTTTCTATCTAGATCAGCTGCTAGAAATGAAGATGTACAGGGAAAAAAGTTGACATATAGTACGTGAACATGCATATAAAGTTTTTGAAACAGATGTATTTACTTTGCCTCTAGCTTATACCTTAAGTTTCTGTGAGGTATTCTTAATGCTGTTTCTCTATTTTAAGAGAAGCACAAAATGACCATTACAGTGAGACCAGCAGTACGGATGGAAACTCCAGGGATTCAGATTTCTTTCAGCCACCAATTAAAAAGGTATAAAGTTAGCTGATGCGATTCTAATTGAATGAAACTGGAAGCTGTCTGTCAGAAAGTTGCTAAAGGTTTTACGGTGCATCTAATGTGATTTGGCTTTGCTTAGAAGTATATAGAATAAGAACCTGAGGTTTTGTACTCTTTTAGTAAACACAAATAAGTTACACCTTGAAGTATTGTTGTTTATCTCTTCAGTAGTGCCTAACGAAAGTAAAAAATTTCCAAGATGCTTCTGATTGGACCCAGAAATCTGATTCTTTCCACACAGTGCATTTCTGGTTTTGCCCAACTCCCCTTTGCCTTTCCTCCAAATGCTGGAAAAATTCTAGAGAACATCCATCTGAAAGGGGTAGTGGTGTTCAGGCACCAATATTAACCTATTAAATGTATCATTTGTAAAGGGGATGATTAAACTGGCACATTGCAGCCTTCATCCTAAGGTCATAAGCTAAATGAAGTTAAATTGAAAGCATAGTGATGCCTGGTACGCTGAAATACAAGGCAACAGCTTGTTTTAGACTAACTATAGAAGCTCACAAAGTGGAAGAGAGTATTGTAATTGCTGCAAAACTGAATTGAATACTCTTGCTAGAGTTGACAGCCCAAATAGAACATGTGAAGGGGACTTAAAACCTGCATATGTTGTGAGAAAAGGTGGTAGAATACACGTTATTAAATGTAGTCAACTGCTTAGACTTTCCTGAAAACTGCAATTTTCCCTGAAGAGAAAACAGTATACCAGGACTAGAATAAATGTGATGAAAAGAGGAGAAAGGAGGAGATTTCAAAAATAGTTTTCTCATTGTACGAAGTGTAATACCACTGTGCTGTTATCTCTCACCACTAATGCTCTAGCTGTACAGTCAACACATACCTTGTGTAATTATTAGGGTTTTAGTCTTGCACTCCTTACAGCCATTAAAGCATTACTGTTTCTGCTAAGCTAGAGCTAGATGTACATAGAGAGCACAAAGAATGATCTATATATAGTAGAGCGTATTTTGAAGTGCCAGGGACTCCATGTTTTGGCCAGAACCTGCAGGAAAAGCGGTAGTGCCAAGACTTCCAAAGTGCACCCTCTAAGCAATATTGGGCACTGCTCCCTCTGGAGGGTAGACATGCTTCATTCCACACTTCGGTTTTCTTTACGGTTTTAGTAACTCTACTGCTGAGACTCAGCGAACTGGAAAAAAGCACTAGATGTATCAAACTGTATCCTCATTAGTGATGTGTATAATTATTTGGCTTATTTTAGGTGAAATTGCAGGAGGCCATTGAATATGAAGATTTATCAAAGAATAATAGCATTAAAACTATTGCACTAAACTTGAAGTCTGATAGGTAAGTTAAAATACACATGGTTATTTCAGCATATTCAGTACAGAAGGTCTCTCATCACAGCCTGCACAGAATCAGCTGATTTAGTCTCTACTGTGCCACAGTCAAGTGTGTTTAGGCTAATCTTAAAAACCTAATATGAACTTCTGGATAAACCAGCTTCCAAGTGATTCCCATTTAAATTTGTATTTTTATTTCATCTTGCTTTCCAGCAAGCTAAGTCTCTGTAAGCCTGCTTGAAGAACTTTGACCTGTAATTTCTGTGAAAGGCTAACAGACCTGCATTCACAGTTCAGCGCTTTGTTGTAGCTTACAGTGGAAAAATGTATTACGTGTGAAAATATACTCAGCTCCAAGGAAAACCCACTCCCAGGAAAAAAAAAAAAGGCAATTGGGATAGTTTGGGCTGCTCATTGGTCTGTTTTTATAGTAATAGTCCTGTTGTTTTCTAGATTTTTTGAGTATGAAAACCATAAATGTAACTTCAGAAAAGAAGTGATACTCAATGTGCTCAGTTTCAATTCAAAGTGGCATGAATTCCTCTACTCTTAATAATACTCCCAGAACTCAGTGGCACAGATAGCTTCTTATTAGCAAAGTGATGCTCAGAGATTCAACAACAGAAACTCTTTATTTTGCTGTCATACCATCCCTGACCCAACTTCTTCCGATGTGGCAATATATTTTACTTTGTCAATAAATAAGATTTAGATAGTAATGTCAACAATTACAAAGCATCTAAAATTGGAAACATTTGAAGACCAGTCCACCGAGTTTGGCCTCTATTCTACCAACACTCCTATTAATATATTTTATCTTTTCTCACCTCACAGGTATTATCATGGTCCAACTCCAATTCAATCACAGCAATATGCAACCAGTCAGGATATAATTAATTCTTTTAATAGTATTAGGCAAGAAATGGAAGCATATGTACCCAAACTAACTCAGGTATGGAAGAATACTCAAAAAAATACCCTTGATGTTAGCATCTTGCGTTCTGTGTAATTTTGTGCCTCCTGTCTACTGGAATTTTAATTTTTCAGGGCAGACTTAATTATCTCCAATAGTTTCATGTTATTCAATTTAGTTTACAACTTTAGGCAATACCTTTTGAGTTACTGAGTTTAAAATCTAAACAACAGGGACCTGATACTCTGAGTTATATTCTACTGTTGCCATGTTCTCTGAGGAAATGGTAAAAGGTAGAAAGTAGTAAAGCAGGAAAGTTATGCAACATGAAACACAGGCCAATATTATTGATCTCACCCCCTGAAGTTTAGTATGTAATAGTCTTAAAAGGTCCGTAGTAAGCAAATTTATAACTGAACAGGTCTTTTGCTCCTAAATGCACTTAGGTAGGATGTAGTTCTCACTGTGGGCTACACAGAAGCTGTCTTCTGGCAACTAGAGTGCAGCACACCCAGGCAGCCAGTCTCCCCAGCCAGTATCTGAACTTCCTCAGTTAGTAATCCCAGATTTGGCCTGATGTAAAGCAGCCACAAGTGCAAATGTGTCACATTTTTGTACAGTAATTCTCTGTCTCATTTCAGAGTAGCTGCATAGCCAATTCACATACTAGGTAAAGAAAAGGTTGGTTTGTCTGTAATTGAAGAGCTTTCACTGAAAATGTGAGCTTATAGCACTTGCAAGTACTGAGCAGACTCTTCATCAAAACTTCCATTGTATCTGCTCAACTGTATCTTTGCCATTGGAGTTCAAATACAATTCATTTAAAAATGATTTTATTGGAGAAAGTGAAATGAAGTAATTGTTCCCTCTCTCCCTTCAGGTCCTTTCAAGTGCTGATGCTGCTAACACTATTGCAGCCCTGTCACCTGGAGGAGCCCTTATGCAGGGTGGAACACAGCAAGCCATAAACCGTAAGGATTTAGGACGTAAAATACTTTAATCATATCTTACTGCATTATAAAGCAGTACCTGGCTCGCTGTTTCATCTGCCTCTTGGAATGTTACAGTGATAAAGGAAATTGTGGAAACATGCAGCTGAAATAATACTGGGCTACAGTAACAAATAAAAAGCAACAACCAAGCCACACCATGAGGGTGGTACTGGCTAACACCACTGCTGAGGCAACTGAATGAGAGAAAATTGTACAAAGCAAGTGATTAAGGTTGCAATTGATACCAAGTCCTCATATAGATAATGGGGTTTGCTTGTTCAGCATTTCTCTTTTCAATTTTTTCCTCTGGATTTTAGAAAATAAAGGCATACTCAGGGAGGACTCTAAAGAAGGTGAGGTCAAGATAATTGTCTGGAACTAGGTTTTTCTGCAGCCTGCATTTAAGATCCACAGCTTGCTGTGAAAAAGGACAACTTTCTTGTAGTCTGCAAGGGCAAAACAGACAACTCCGCCTTCTTACATCTCTTCAGCTATTCCCAAGTTCATTTCCTTTGCATTGCAGCAGGTGAATCCCTGTTCTCACAAGGCAGTGTTTATAACAGGTTTCCAGTTAACTTGTGTTACTTGGTATGAAGAGCCACAGAAGCTAATGCAGACAGCTGAAAAAGCAAGTGTAGGTTCTTTATGGTACTGAAAGAAAAGGAGTCAGCAAGCGGTAGTGAGGCTTTCTTACCCATCCCAGTTGACCTACTGGGTGCTGCACTCCATCTTGAGCTTGACCACCTTTTTCAATTTAAAAACCAGGGCAGAAACAAACAAAACCAAACCCACAAAACCCAACCAAACAGAAATAAAACCCAGCCTCATCCTAGAATTTGCTATTCACTGCTCAGTTAACTGTGCTCCTGTCATCCTCAATGACTGCTTTTTTTCTTTGGTTTTTATGATTGTGGTTCCCCCCTTCTCTTGAACCCCATTGCCCTTTCTTCTTTAAGAGTATCTGGGATCAGTTCCTTGTTCTTGCCTGGGTTTTTCATCTTCCACAGGGGGTGACCATGTTCTCATTGCCATTGTAAAAGAGAGAAGAGCTTGCAATATCCACCATACAGTATTTAGTGCTGTGCTGTGAAGAGCACAAGATGCTGGTCCCAGAAGCAGTACTGCCACACCATTAGAACAGTACAAATATACTGCTTCTAATCCTGGATTAAGTTTTATATCCATTCTTTGGCTAACATAGATCTCCCTATATATAACATACAAGCTTCTAACTATATAGTCATAAATAGCAGCTGACCTGATCTAATGCTGCTGATAGTCCTACTTCAGGTGTAAGGCACCTCAGTGTTCCTTCCCAGCCAACCTTTCTGGGATTCTGGTAGAAATGTATATTGCTATTGTATATAGAAATGTATATCTCCTTCATTAGCCTTACATTCTCTTGTTTTCATGATGGTTTTGAGTCATGCAACAAAATCTTTTTCCTGTTGCAGAGATGGTGCCAAATGACATTCAGTCTGAACTAAAACACTTGTATGTGGCAGTAGGGGAACTGCTACGACACTTCTGGTCCTGCTTTCCTGTTAACACACCATTCCTAGAAGAAAAGGTAAGAACTTCCTAGTGTGGCCCTCGTTACAATGTGGTCAGATCACGGTTTAGGATGACTGTCATTAACTTGAAGTATAGAACTAGTACGTATGCTTTAAATCAGTGCGAGCAGTTACTCGTCCCTAGAACTGAAGATCAACAATGTAAAATATTACCTTTTTTTTCAGTGGTTCTTTTGGCACTATTAAAATCAACCTTAGGCCTGTTGGTGCCCTTCAGGAGCAGTTGCAGCAAGCTAATTTCAACAGAATAGTCAGCTATACTCCAGCTGCAGATCTCATTGCCAGTTTAAAACACACAAACTAAAGCCCCCCCTTCCCCCACATTAATACACCTCCACAGTGACAGTTACAAGAAAATTTTCCTTATTCTTCTATCCATTGCAAAAACCACTCATTCATAGCTTCAAAACATACGCTGGCTTTTAGAACAAAGTTGCCTTTGAGGAGAGGTGTTTGCTGCAACCAGGTATATGAAACTATTTTTCTGTTGCTGTTCTTTCTTTTGACCTCACACGGATCACAAAGATAAAAATTTGCAGATATGTTGGATTTCGTGCCACAAAACATGGCCTGAAAATTCATGGTGCAGTCATGTCCTGAAGCAAAAACATGTTTTTGTGACTATCTTCTCTGTAGTATTTACTGACAAAGTGCTAATGATCACAGTGGCACATTGCACTGGCCTCAAAAATAAGTATGCACTCCAGAATGGTTAGACACTGATGTTTTAATAACTTTTCTTCTTCAAACTACACATATTTAAAGTAGCCCCCAGGATTAGTTATGAGGTGTTTGGTTGGAGAACAGTTTGTTAAGGGAAAGAGAACTGTGCAAAGTGATTATAATGTTGGATTCTGTCTCTTTCAGGTTGTGAAAATGAAGAGCAACTTGGAAAGATTTCAGGTTGCAAAGCTCTGCCCATTCCAAGAAAAGATTCGGAGACAGTATTTAAGCACAAATGTAAGGGGAAAATACTCTTTAATTGTGTGGGTGCTTATTAATAATTTGAATCATGATTATCAAGAGGATGGTAGCTTTGTTACTTCTTATCTTAGGGCATTTAAGGTTTTTGTTAACTAGGAAATGAGTAGAGAGAGATTGGGTAGAGTTAAGCATGCCTCCTCTCCCTGTATAACTTTCTGAATGATACCAAAAACTATCAAGAAATATAATTTAAAATTGCCCAAGTGAGACAGCAAGAAGGAGAAGTCATGTTTCACTTCCACCATGAAGTAGAACTATAACAACTGCAAAACTGTCTCACACCATGTCAGACTTGAAGTGGTCACAGAGTAAATACTGGAGCAGACAGCACAGTCAAGTGTCACTACTTCCCTGTGACCATCTCAGCTTAGTAGCTGTCTGAACTGCTCCCTCTACAGATACTTTACAATAGAGCCTCAGATCCTTTTTGTTTGGCATACCTCTGTGATTTTAGCAAGATTACTTTGACTGAATAAAAGGAAGAAGGCAACACTATCTTATCAAAGGGAGGGAAGGGGATGTATTTTCCAGTAGCTGGGACATTTAATTCCCTCTTAATGTTTCAGTTGGTAAGTCATATAGAAGAGATGCTGCAGACGGCCTACAATAAGTTCCATACGTGGCAGTCCCGGCGTATGCTGAAGAAGACGTGAAAGTGCATGCTGTACAGGTTTGAGAGCAAAATCTGCAATAGGTGTAGGAGTACAACCTAGCATATGTGCAGATCTTGTAGTTGTTGCAGGAAGACCTGCAAGCTGCGGACTTCTGGAAATGATGCTAACTGAACTTGCACATTTTTGAAAAAGAACTGAGATTAAACTTGAAAACTAGGGAGAAAAACCAAGAAAGAACCAAAACAGAAGAGCCGAGGCGCAAAAATATTTAAAAGACACTGTTTACTGCAGTTACTCAGGAACTGCTTTTGATTTGCATAAAGAGCTGCTTTCATAAATAAAAAATTTAAAGAGGGTGTATTAATAAAAATCCATTTTTCTGTCTAATTTTTTTTTAAGAAGTGTATGGCACAGGGTAGAACTCAGAACCTTTCCTTCACTGGATTCTGACATTTTACTGAATTCTGTACTTTCTGCAACAATTTAAGAATGATATTTTGAAGTACAGCTGAGACTGGTTTGCTTCAAACATCTGGGAGAGTGTAGCTGTTGGAATACAAGCTTCTGCCATGTTTCCCCATCCAATTGGAAACAAGACATTGCACTGAAAGCTCTTTGTTGTCTGGGGTCCCTAAAGGCACATGGGGGCAAACTTTTGCCCGAAGTCTTGGAATTTTATGCAGAATTTTTCCAGCCATGGGTTTTGCATGTTTTCCTTTGAGTGCAAGTGTGTGCTACTGCAGTTTTGGGGTTTTTTTACGGTGGTATTTGTTCTGAGGAGAGAATGCATTTTTAAAAATGAAATTAAATAAAGTTTCTTACAAAAGAAGGTATTTATTTTCAATTCTTAGACATTTTTATTTCTTCTCCTGTTTTCCTTCACTCTTCCCTTTTGACTGTTACACTATTTTTGGCGAATTGATAATCATTGCAAGGAGAAAAATGTGTTAATTTATCCAGTGTCCACAGATACTGGGAATCTGTGCCATACTTTGTTCCAAAAAGAATCAGTTCACATGATGTGACATACATAATACAACATGTCTTGTATTAAATGTGACTTAAATGCAAAGTGAACCCTTTACCTATAATATATGCAGTTTAATGACATCCTTGTATTTTATTGTCATCTTGACTGTACTAAAGCCCAGTATGGGCTACAGAATTTTTTTACTTCTGACTAAATGTGACTGTTACCAAGTATAAGATGCTTTTACTACAAAGACAAATCAGAGTGAGAGTATGTATTCAAAGCAAGCACAGCAGTGTTCAGCACGGCAGAAGAAATTCCCCTTAGCCTGCATGATGGCTTTAATATTAGATTTTGCCACCATTGGTATGAAGCTGAAACATGATATTGTGATGTTGGGTGGATAACTTGGAAATTCCTACAGAAGATGTATTTGTATAGCCAAGTCTGTGCTTGTTCTGTGCTGCTGCTCCATTTATGCAAGAGGGTTGTTTTTTTTCTTTAACTGGTGCGTGGAAGAAGCAGCTGCTTTTAACTTTTAATTATTATTTTTGTATTATGCTAATATTTTGGTAAAAGCTGAGTTTCAGTAAATGTCACTGTCTGCCTCAAAATTCTGTTTGGAAATGTAATGCATATTGTTAAGCCTAGTTTTCCTGTCTGCTTCTGCAGATAGATACGTGATACCTGCTCTGTGATGTTAATGTGGTTCTGCTGCCAGAAATGACTGAGCTCAACAAGAGTTATTTTTGACAGGGTGAAAGTGTCATTAGGAATAAACAGATGTATGTACAGCAATTGGGGGATGAGGTGTATATCTTGTCAAGAGTTACCTCTTGTGATAAACTGTTTCTCTAAAACTTAGGTTTAGGGTATGGCTTCATTAAGCCTAATCCTCTTGTAAGTGCAGGCAGCTCCCAGAAAGAAAGGGTAGTTTTGTTCTCCCCCAATCCAAAGCACTTGATCTAGCAATTCTGTGGCCAAATTTCAAGTGTTCAGTGAAAGCTGTAACACCTTTCGTGATATCAGAGGGCTAGGTTCAAGAAAATACATCTGATTTATGTTGTAACTGTGCCTGAAGCTATGAACAACACATTTTGAGTATGAGACTGTACTGAGACTTAAGTTAAAAGAAAAAAATCATGGACAGGAGGGTTTTGAATATTCACCTTTAATCTGAATCAGTATTTAGTGTTCCTGGAAAGACTGGGCAAGATGGTTGGCACAGTGGAAGTGGTTCAGTGCATCACAGGAGCATTTTATAGTTCAAAGGACTGTTTATAATCATTATGGGGGATGGTGTTGCAATAGCTTTAAGTTATAGCGATATCAGGCTATCAAAAAGGACCTTAATTAACAGAACTGGGGGGAAGGAAGAGGACTGATACTAAATTCAACAGTTTTGCCTAGAGACTCCATAGGCAAGGCTGCTATGCACTTCATATTGCTTTTTCAGGTATTGTGGCAATAAGGCACAGGCCCCTCCTAAAGTAAAGGAGGTAAACTAAATATTCTTCTACATTGTGTTCCCCTTTTCTGTAGCATGGTCCAAAACCCAGATTCATTCCTTAAGTTTTGAAACTGAATCATCATGCATTATATTACTATTGGAATCTTTATACTGACTTGTATTTTTAATGAGAATTCATAAAACTTGTATCATTGGCATTGATCTAAGATTTGTAGAATAAACCCTACTGAATTCTGAAGTGAAGTCTTCTCTAATGTTTAGGCTGTGTTTTCTCATGTTCAATTAAACCCCAAACGAGCTCCATTCAGGTCTAAATTGAGAGTGCTGGGTATAGCACTAGCTCAGCTATCTCTTCATGCTGGTAGAAAAGGTCAGGAGCAAGAGGGCTACAATACAGTTACTGTCAAATTATTTCATTTTTAGGGGTTGAGATTTTTTTCTGCTGCATAGGGAATCTACACCATTACAAGTGCTACTGTCCTGCTCCTGATCACACGAGTTTAAGTCTCAAGGGATTAGTACCCTGCTTATTCCATATATTGATCGAGCAGCTGTTGGTTCAGGAGAGCTGTACAGTCTCCTTTGTCAGCCACTCAGATCCAAGCCTTGCTAGTAATGGAGAAAGGATGACTTAAAGCAGATACTAAGACCAGTCTGGCTCAGCCTACCCATAGCCTGTAAATTTCAGCAGATTAAAATTCCTAGATGCACCACAAAAAAGGCTGGGCTATTTCTCTCTCAACAAGAGCTGTATCCCATTCAAGGACAGAAAGTGACATCTTTCACTGGAGCCATTCCTGCCAGTAATTTCTTCCATGCTCACAGAGTAGATCTCTAGACTAGGTAGAATAATAGAATAGTTAGGGTTGGAAAGGACCTTAAGATCATCTACATCCGACCCCCCTGCCATGGGCAGGGACACCTCACACTAAACCATGTCACCCAAGGCTCTGTCCAACCTGGCCTTGAACACCACCAGGGATGGAGCATTCACAACTTCCTTGGGCAACCCATTCCAGTGCCTCACCACTCTCACAGTAAAGAGCTTCCTCCTTATATCCAATCTAAACTTCCCCTGGTTAAGTTTTAACCCATTACCCCTTGTCCTGTCACTACAGTCCCTAATGAAGAGTCCCTCCCCAGCATCCCTATATGCCCCCTTCAGATACTGGAAGGCTGCTATGAGGTCTCCACACAGACTTCTCCAGGCTGAACAGCCCCAGCTTTCTCAGCCTGTCCATATGGGAGGTGCTCCAGTCCCCTGATCATCCTCGTGGCCCTCCTCTGGACTTGTTCTAACAGTTCTATGTCCTTCTTATGTTGAAGACACCAGAACTGCACACAATACTCCCAAGTGAGGTCTCACAAGAGCAAAGCAGAGGGGCAAGATCACCTCCTTCGACCTGCTGATCACACTCCTTTTGATGAAGCCCAGGATATGGTTGGCTTTCTGGGCAGCAAGTGCACACTGCCAGCTCATGTTCAGTTTCTCATCAACCCAATACTGCCAAGTCCTTTTCTGCAGGGCTTCTCTGAATCTCTTCTCTGCCCAACCTGTAGCTGTGCCTGGGATTGTCACGACCCAGGTGCAGGACCTTGCACTCAGCTTGGTTGAACTTCATGAGGTTGGCACTGGCCCCTCTCAAGCATATCATGGTCCTTCTGGATGGCATCCCCTTCCCTTCAGCGTATCATCCGAACCACACAGCTTGGTGTCATCGGCAAACCTGCTGAGGGCGCACTCAATCCCACTGTCCATGTCAGCGACAAAGATGTTGAACAAGACCGGTCCCAGCACCAGTCCCTGAGGGACTCCACCCACTACAAGAGCCTGCACTTTCCCAGATGAGTAGACTTTCCCCACTACCCCTTTAAGATGCTTTTTTGTGGCTAAAAGTTTTTTCTCCATTATTTATACTGTAACTAAATCCTTACAACTTCTATGATGGGGTACTGTTATTAGCTAGGAAGCTTACATTATCCTCACTGAAACTGCTATTGAACAACTGCTTTACCCAGAAAGTCACTTGTTTAAGCAGTGACAAGAAAGCTTACGATTCAGTTTTCCACTGTCCATCCTGTTTCCCTTTCTTAAGGAGAAAAGCCTACCCAAGCATCCCTGCTATCTGCAGGCAGTGTACTAAGTGGCTTTGGAACCTTTGCACTGCAGCACGCTTCCAGTGTGTCTCCAAGCTCTTCTTTACCTTGCAGCAAGAACTGGAGATCAATCCAAACAACACACAGCAACTTCAGTTTGAACAGCGATCAGGCATCACTGGTGATGTAACACTGATCCTCCATAAGCCCTGATAACCAGTGTCAGATGTGCTCCTGCGGTAGAGTTTAAAGCCTAGGGAGCTCTTATATTACCTAGCCTAACCCCCTGGATCTTTATCAAGACATTGCATTTCCCCTCAGCTATCTCTGGACACATCACATCTCCCGAATAGATATCCAAGTCCTTCTCTGTAACAGTGAGAGCAAGAGAATTCACCACTGTCCTCGGTAACATCCTAGAGGATAACATATCCGGGCTCTTTTAAACTGTCTGCCGTGGAAGAGGCAAGACCGAAAGGTGCGAGACGCAGCCGGAGCGGCTGGTCTGACAAGGAGCAGCCTGGCTGGAGCACAGTGGCCGCTAGAGGGCAGGGGTCAGAGCCCAGACGCCGCCGTCTGTCTGTCCAGCCGGGGAGGGCAAGCACGTCGCAGGCAGCCCCAGCTCACCCACAGGGGGAGGTCAGGGCGTTTGCACCCTGCTTCTCGCCAGGCCACGCAATGCCAGCTCACCTTTATTCTGCCCTCTAGGCAGCTGTAGGATCACAGCCGGGTGGCAGAGTGCCACAACAGTGACATGGCAGACAGCCTCACAGCCGAGGCTGGGGCTCCTTCCTGGCGTGTTCCCAGTCCACATGCCCTCAGCTGCTGTGTTTCACACACAATGAACGTCTCCATCCCCTCCAAAACCTGACAGCCCTCTGGTCTTCCTTCCCCACAGAAGTCCACACATCCTTCATCCCTGTAAAGGCAATCTATCTGCCAGCATACCCTTACGAAAAAAGTGTCCTGGATATACACAAATGCTATCCTCTGGGCCTGGTAGGATCCCCTCAAAGGGGTTACTTTATGATCTCACCCACAGCACTCGCAAATTATACCTGAAGCTTTGAAAGGCAGCATCCCCCCACCTCAAACACCAGCTAAACCTGGACACAATTTTGTTCTCCAAAGCATCAGCATCCAGCATCCTCACAGCCACACTCCATCCCCTTCCAACCCAAATATATTCACAAGCACATGGCAAACCAGCCCTTTATTACCATTACTGCACTTAAGCATCTTCAAGCACTGCTGACAACTGCCACACCCATGAGCCACCCTCCTCGAGCAAGT